ACTGACCGTAGTCAAAAGTTTGATAATAAATTTTGCAGAGCGTTCATTTTATCATCATTGTCAGTTTGGGGCTCCAGTAACATTAAGCAAAATCCTCTTTTTTCCTTTTTGAATTTTTTTTTGTTTCCGAATGCGACCTACATTTCTCGAATGCGACCTACAAAGCGATGTGAGAAAAAAAGACGAGGCCGAACAAGCTGACCTGCATGTTCTGTGGCAAAGAGGGGTTCGTCGATTGCTACAGAAGTACAGAGCATGTGATGTCACCCTGAGAGACAATTCAAGCCAGTCGAAGATCTGGGCAATCATAAAACGAAAGTTGCTCTCTCCTACTAAGAAAAATTGTTACTTTGTGCAGTACACCTATAAATCAGATTACGACGATTATGATCTGCGAGGATGAAATTGACCTAAGGTTGAATCAGCGTGTCGTTTTAATTAACTTTGAATCACTTTTTTGTTATGTTTCGTTAGTTTTTGCCTGTCTCGTGTTTAAAAGGTTGCGTCCCTGCAGCTGATTTTATCAAATGGATCCAGTCAGACAAATTCGTTGGCTAACACGGAGCCTTGTCAGTTTCATCGGCTAAATCAGTTAAGAGTTTCAAAAGCCAAGTAACAGGGCGTGCTTATGGTGGTCAAACTGACAGCCAAACATTTGGGGACAAATTCGTTTCTGAAACGATCAGAGGATATCCCGCGAAAGTGACAGCTAGACGGTACAGCGTAACGGAATAGTAATCAGTTTCTGAAGTAAACAGCATCCATTTAATCAACGAGTCGAGCTTTTAAATGCTTTTAACTCTGACGATTTTTCTCAACCATAGGAACAAATACAATCAGTTGAGTTAGTTGATAATCAAACCTTGTTCAGGAAAACGCCGCTAATGTTCTGGAGCATCATTGATAATGATGCTTGTTTATCGGATGCCGCGAAAAGCTCAGTCCCAAAGGTGATCAAGATGGGACACCTACATAGAAAGAAGGTAGAGAAGACAAAAGTACCGACGAAACTAGAACCGAAGAAGCTAGAACCGACGAAGAGAAGACTAAAGTACCGAAAAGTTAAGCTACTTGCTGTTATCACAATCTAATGCAATATCAACTTTTCATCAGCACTCAACAATATATATTTGAAGTACATTTCAGTAGAAGGGGAAATAAAGTTTAACATACAACTTTTTAACAAAATATAGAGATCTGTTCTGTTGAGTTCTGTTTTTTTTTTTTTCATTTTAGGCTGCACGACATATTATTTCATGGCCCCTTTGGTCAACAACAAGCAGATATCCGAGGAGTATCTGCTGCTTCAATCTATGGTTTGGAAACGATTGTTTCCCATGATTGACCCTCGCTTTGATGCTGGAGGGTGTCAGAAAGTTATTCTGACGAAGCGGCAATCCCTCTCTATGCCAGCTGGTATGATATGCATGGTTGAAACAACTTCAGAGTCTGCGATGTCAATATCATCGTGGATACCGGCTGGTGGCTGCCAGAGCTTACCGACACGAGCGGAAAAATGTTGAGCCCTTCAGGAGCTGCTACTCTGCATTTCCGTTGTTTGCACTGAGCTACCTTCCAGTGAATCTATGGTTAGTGTCAAAAGTAAATTGATACTTAACTTTGTCGAAATCATAAAAAATTAATTATATTTTTATAGCTTTTATATCACCATTTATAAGATCTAGAGGAAGTCTCGAGAGTTGTCAAGGCACACGACAAAGCTTTAGACAACCACCTTTGCAGGAGATTTTGCATGCCTACATTTGGCCGAAATGTATCTCATATACTGAATTACTCACTTCCGTAACACAAAAACTGCACCAAATTTAATCCCATTTACTGAAATACTCAATTCACAAACTGAGAACTGCACCCAGTTTAACCCAATGTTATGAATTTTTTCACTTACGTAAGCTGAAAACTGCACTCACTTTAATGCCATATACTAAAATACTGAATTCTTCCCAAAAACGAATAAACACCAGTTTGACGATCGGTTTGAACACCACCATGGGCCATCCGGCCTGTCGTTGCCAGTGAACGCATCGCACGCCCCAATATTGGTGAAAAAGTCCGAAACACCTTGCCCAATTTTAGTGAAAAGGGCCCGAGACTGAGACCGCTGACAGTTTCATGAAGTTTCAACTTTCCGCGGTTTTTCTTCATCAAATGTCAATACGCCGAGTTTAGTAAATGACATTTAAAAGCATAAAAAGCTGTTTTTTCTATCAATTGTTGTTTATGATTGTAATTATTGATAATGAAGTCTCAGTAACTAACTGAATTGCTGATTTTCAGAAATCATGGGAGTTATTTGCTCGACCGGCATAATCAATCAAGAAGAGTGCCCAATCTGTCGCCTTTAAACAATTCTGCTTACGATTCACGATAGGCAAATCGGGCATTACCTGTGTATGGACTACTGGAATGGGTTGTGAATGGAAGGATATATCCCAGGTGTCCCTTGGGCAGACAAGATCTGGATTGCTTGGGGAATATTTTTCGATACAGGTATCTGTTGTATTTGACTTTGTTGTTGTTAGGCTAACTTAGGCTGGGGCCATGTGAACAAACCCTCCTTTCGACCTTTAAGCAACAATATGAACCTTCCCAATAAAAATCGCAAAAAAAAACAACCAACCCTTGTTTTCCCTTTGTTAATCTTGTTTTACGTTTGTTAAAATTAAAAATTACTATTAATCTGATGGCAACAGCGACGATGCTTTTATGACGACAGTGGAGATGGACGCTCATGATTAAGTAATCTTGGAGGTTGTCCAAACTTATTATGCCTGGAGTGATAGCGAGGAAGTGTAGCAAGTTTTTATGTCGGATGGCTCGGCATGTGACACCGTTGACGCGTGTACAAGCGAGCGTGCGCGGTCAGGTTCGAGGTCGAGGAGGGCTATTAAGATGATCTGCTAAAGGCCGATGCCAAGACCCAGAGTGAGGAACAACCACCGCCGCCCCGCTTCAAATTCTTAGCCGCTCAACCTAGAGGTTCCAATTCGGAATATCGAACTATTTTACTATCTTGTTTTATGCCTAGATGAGTACTGTTTTTTTTAGAAGCTGGTCAGTGACAAACTTGTGTCAGATGAAAACAGCTGTCAAATGAAACTTTCAGCCAGTGAAAATTCCACTAAAAATGTTCTGTTAATTCAAAATTGGCTCAATTTAGACGCTGAGAGTTCCAGAATCCCAATCTGAAAGCCGCCACCTGCGTCTGTGTACTCAAAACTGCCGTGCAAGCTTGGAATCTTAATTCCAGAAGTTCATACAATTATTCCAACTGCAATGTTCTTCACTAAAAATGTGACAAGGCCCGAAAGATTGGTTAAACTTGTGTCTTAGAGAACCATTCGGTGTTGTTATTTTTCTCACTCTTCAACCGACAAAAAAATGGTCTCCTTTGCAGTCTTCACTTCAAAAAAATTACATCTTTTTTTTTGCCCGGATGAAAATACTTTGCTTGGAGAGCTTTAATTCTAAATACGCTTGAAGGTCAGAATCTAAGGGTGGTTACATTGCTGTGGAACGAGAAATATGATTCAATAAGAAAAGTAAATGCATACTTTATCCCCAGAGTATCTACAAAAACAAACCAGAATGCTAATACCAGCAGTATGCACTGGAATACCTGCAGCCATTGAAGCAACCTTTTTATTATCCCAAAAAGTTGAAGAAACTCCCCCAATTGAGAAGTTTTTCGAGGGATCGATTCTAAAGGTTGACTTCAACCTGTTTTTTTTAACCAATATTGTAAGATTTGTTTGTGGGTTCCGCTGACAATGGTTAAGTCCTTGCTTTTAATTTCTGTCTTGCTACAGATAATGGTTCCACTTCTAACTTTTAGCGGTTGATATGCAAATTCAGGCATTTACGAATTCCGCTTACAAAATTTGCGGATTCCACTAACATTTGCGGATGCCACTTACCTTGTGCGAAATCCACTTACAGTTACGGAATCCAGAACAACTAGCTATAATTGCTTGTTGCGGAATCCGCAACAAAACAATCTGCTGACAAAAATTACATTACCGGTATTTTTACTCGGGAATTTTAAAGACTTGTCTATGGAATCTAGGAACATACAGAAAATAAAATTCTCCGCCTACCCAGTTCACAGATTGGCCTGGTAATGTTGATGCATGTTATTTTATGACAAACATTTTCGGTGTAACGAATTTTGCGATAAGCATCTTCGTTTTATGTAGGTCAACCCAAGATTAAGTTTTATGACGAGGCTTTTTTTCCGAAACTTGTTTGAGTTGTCTATCCTTTGCTGTTTTTTCATGCTCTTCAAAAAACAGTGTTCCAATTTTAAAACGCTTTTGACCAAACTTGAAACGGTTTTTGATTTTCTCAGTTTTATACAAATGCTTCAGTCAAAAGTAGTTCAAACAGAATTTAACAAAATACGCAAACTGAGTTTACGGCATTTTTAGGAATATTTATTTCGCGTCAGTTTGCTAAACCAAACAGGCCATCTCAATTCTGCTACCTCATAACAACTTCAGCTATGTCCTTTTTAAAAAGAAGACGATGAGTCAAATTTCACTGGTATCAATTTGGAATAAACTTTCAATGCTGACTTTTGGTCTCCTGCGCTTACTATTTTTTAAAATCAATTAATATTTTCCATTTGTTTTATCAATTGACTCGAATTTACGTCAAGCTTTTAGCAATTTCAAAAGCGGAAGGAAAGTTTAAAATTTGCGGAAAAGCTGAACTAAAAAGAACAAGTGCAACAAGAATTGCAAACAAGATTTAGCAGTGTAACAAAAAGTGCAACAAGAACTATTTGTGCAACAGTTTGTGCAACAAGAGCTATAAATCAGCAAATTACTCTCTGATTTAAAAAAATCAACCTGAATTTGTATTGTTTTTATAAGAAAAAATTATTGTTTTTTTTTCGCTTTCGATTATATGCATAGAAGTATGCTCAGCACGCAAATTATCAGACAAGTTTTCATGTTTCTTACTTTGATATTCCTAATTTTTTTTGCATCAGACTCTGCGTTTTTGAGCAGAGAATTGTGGAGTGAAGCCAGAATCTTCAAACTATTTGTGCCGACGGTTAAAATTAATCAACCACAGAACCCAATGTAAGTGAGAACCATACAGAAAAGTAGTTATCCACTCACTTTTGTCAGCGACTGATAATTAGATTTTCAAATTCTGCGACCAAAAACTCAGTCTAGACATGCTTTTATATTCTAAGAATTTTGCATTTTAGTCGCGATAGTCTGGAAATTAGACGCCAAAATCTGACATTTAGGAACGATTCTCTAAAAATCAGTCGCAATAGAAAACTACATAGTTTCAAAAGAGAAAGTATTATAAACGCGACCGCGCAAACAAAAGTGCAAAAAGTAATGAACAGAAAGATAAAGTTTATTATTTTTAAGGTCATGACAGCACAAGTAGTGAGCTTCACATTAGAAAAAAAAATGACTTAACAAAAGAATACTTAACAGATTTAGCAAAAAAAGGCAAAGGTCGCGAAAGTTGGGCCGGTTTTAGTTGACATTTTTCGGTCGCGCCGGTCGAGTTTAAAATTTCTTCGGTTGCGCCGGTCGTGATTAACTTTTCTGCATTTTCGCCGGTCACGAGTAAAACTTTCAACCTGAAAAATCTTGTTAATAAAAAAATTGGATCGATCTAATTTGTAGCTAGTCGCAAAATGTATCAGACTCTAATCTTGTTTGACAGATTTAAAAGCAAAAGAAATAAAAAAAGAACAAGAAGATCAAGTAAAAAATTAACAAAACATAAATTAAGTGACTTAACGCATGCTCTCATCATTTAAATAACTATTTTTTCCAATTCAATTTGAAATTATTCAGGCGCAAATGTAGAAACTTTTTTAGGACTTTCCATAAGATGAAAACTTCCAAAACAGTTTTCCAGGATCTCTGAATAATTTTAACCGAGCACTCTCAGAACACTATACGGAGCTTATTTTGCCAAAAAAAAGTCTACACCAGTAGCATATTTTTTGAAACGGTCGCAAGAAGTATTTGTTGGGGCTGATCAGGGGGGATTGATGGGAGACACATGTTTTAAGACAGAAAATTGAACATCCGGTCTACCACCTATGTGTAAACATTGGGTATAGAGTCTTCATTGTTTTAAGATAGGGAATATGACAAGAAGGTTTCAGTCTTTGTGTCATAGTTATGGAGTGGTAGGAAAAATTTTCTTTTTTTTTTGTTTTTTATTTTGGTGGAAATCTCGCATATCGGCGCGAGATATCTTATTGGTAAATATCAATGGTATATTACGTCTGGACTGTGTAATGAAGGCATAACAGCATTTTTTTATTCATGTTAAGTTAATGGTACGAGTTTTTGCATCAAAAATGAGATTTCTTTTTGCTTTTTCTTAAATCAAAACTTCAAAACACGATAAGATTTGATACATTTTGACCTATACTTTGTTTTAATACATTATTTTACTGTTTAATGCAGTGCTCTAGCTAGCTGAAACTATGCTGAGACCTAACTGAAATGCAGCTGAAACTTCCGAGTACTCGGAAGTATTGTCAGAAAAATTATAATTTGAAAACTGCTTATGTCACGTAAATCAGACTCAGCATCTGTCCAAACTTATTTTTTTAACGTTCTATGTAAACTTTGCTCAGTTTCTATTCCAGAGGATATCAGCTTTGTGAACAACATCCTTCAAATAATTAGTTATAGCAATAATTTTGAAATTTTCTAGAAAAATCAGTGATTCGATTCTAACTTGGAGTTTTATTAAGGATTAACCAAAAATCATTTGAAAGAGTCAAAATTTAAAACCTCAGATCTATTTCCGAATTAAATGAATCAGTGTGACTCTTGAGAAATGCTCAATTTTCTGCTAATTTATAATAAATAGTTACCACTTTATCAAAGCTTTTGATAAAAATTATCATCTTAAGTTCATAAAAGAAACAAACTTGGATTTCCACGTCAAATTTTAAATTTTGTATCGTTTTTTAACAAAATTGGTAGATGTGCACTTATTTCCAAAAATCTGAAGTTTTTGTTTTTATTCATCTGTTCTAGTACTCTAATGTTCTTTGACACTTCAAGAAAATTTATACCTTGAACGAAGAAATTTGATTAATGTTTTTTTTTTATTATTCTTTAATAGAACTAATTTTGCGTAAAATTCCACACTAAGAAGACAAGTAAAAATGTAACAATGAGATGGTTGTTTGAGTCCCTAAAGTAAACTAAAAGAAGTTTGCTTGAAAACTCTAAGCTATCCATAATTTTAGTTATTTCTTTAAATGATAGAAAAAAAATTACTCGATAAAAAAATTATCGTTGTCAAAAATTGACAGTTTGTGTGTTCTATTCTTAAGTTCTTTATTATTCAGAAACTTGGTTTTGCTTGATCTACCATCTCATAACTTCAGTGTTTTCCGATCCAATTTGAATCACAATTTTCTCAAAAAATGAGTCTTAGTTCAATACAATTGTATCATTTCAACAAATATTCACAAATAGAAGGCAAAACTAGCATCAGAAAACCCCTTTTACTAAGAACCTTCTAAACCAGATATTTTTCTCTTTTGTTTTTACCCTTAGTTTTTGTTTTTGAAACGATTTATAGTTCCGAATTGAATACATATTAATCTGGAAGTCTTCAAAACTAGCCAAATTATCCACTAGTTCTCTTTTTCACGTCAATAATTTGTTTTCTGAATCGATAGAAGACAAAAAAATTATGATTATTTATAAGTAAGTCTCCAATTTTCAGCATAAAACCAAGCTACTCCATTAACATGTTCCAAAGTACTAAAATAGACAGAATATTAAAAAAACAACTAGGTAAAAAGGTTCAATAAGTCTCTGTTTAAAAAATGTCCTGTACTCTGTTACAACTTCCTAATTAACACTTAGCTAATCATTAGTTCATAATACGCAATTTATCAGATATCTCCTGTAAAATTACCACCATTGCAGTATTTGTTGTATATTAAACGTTTTTGGATCGATTTTCATAGCATTTCATGACAATTGAACTCAATTTTCGGAAAAAAAAAGTAAAAAAACTTTTCTTTTATTTTGATTTTCTGTATTTCAGTGGTTCTTTTCGGTTTTTTTTCCAATAGTTTGAGTTTTTGATTGATTACTTCAAATCAAGCCACTTGCAAGGTCAGGAAAAAACATTACAATATGTTGGGTGTTTTAAGTTAAATTCATTTATTTGCTAAAAAGCTGTTTTTGTTTGCTTTCAACAAGAAGTGTAAATGATTTAGTGGAAAAACTTTATCAATTAACCAAAAACTTCAATTAACCAAAAGAGTTTTAATTACTTCAGAGGAAAATTTTTTAAATCATCTGAACTTTCATGTAATATTACATAATTCATCAAAAGATAACAGAATTTCCAATAAAAAATACATAATCACCAATAATCGAGATTTTCAAGTTTGGATTTTTTCTTGAGCTATAACTTATAGCCTGATACTAATCAAAACGATCTCAAAATTTCTGAACAACAAATTGAATTTCTACTTTTTTTCTCGAAAAATTTCAATTTAAGTTTTTTTGGTTTCTGTTTGATCTTTGATCTACCATCTTCTATTTGATTCAATTTCGAAAAAAATGTACACACAACTGAAATTTATCTACAAATATGTGTATTATGATCGATCTTTCACATACCCAAAGCAAGCTTAGCAATGAAATCTTTTCTTTGTAAAGAAACTTCAAAGAAAAAACTTCTGAGTAAAACTTCAAAACAGTAAGCTTTTTTACTAAACCCTATTTTTTAATTTAAAGCAATTTTACACAAAAAAATGATATTTTAAATATTCCAAATCAGTTAAAACATCAAATTTTTTGTCTATTTTTGCCATTTTTCAAAATTTGTTGGACAATAAAAGAAATAATGAGTATCAATGCATAATTTTTCAATTATCTGATTAAAAAAACTGCAAAATTATCAATCTGCTCAAACATATTACCTTACTGCTAAGAAATTATTACTTTAATTCTGCAAAAAAACAGAACGGTTCACTTAGCCGATATTTGTAAATACACAGTACTTTTAAACTGTTTTTTAGCTAATTAGCCAAAGCGTATCCATTCATTAGCTTATAATATAAACTTTACAATAAGTTAAAGACATTAGAGTCCCTTGAACTTCATACCATTGCATTTATCAATGTAGATTAATGATTTTTGGATTGATTTCTTTCAAGAGTTTCACGCCAAATTAAATCCAACTGTTCTTCGAGTTGATGTTGTCATCAGATCCCTTGAAAAAAAGCTTTAGTCAAAGCTTAAGAATTGCGATGAAAGTATTTCATAGTATATAATAAAATTTTTCAATTGTTCCAATTTTGTATAGATTTCTAGGTTTTTCAGGCTGTTATTTCTCAGTAAAAACTATTTTTATAGCACTTTTTCAACTCTTAAGGATGTTTCAAGTATATATTTTTTGAATTTTTCGGAGTGTGTTTGAAGGCTGTTGAACGTTGTTTTCATCAGCTTGTATAAAGTAACTATAGAAATGAACGGGTCCTAGTGCTTCACTTTCCTTGTAGTAGTAATCAATCATTCAAAAGATACATAATTCAGCCTAATTTCAACTGTGTGTACAAATTCCTTCAACATTGATTAAGTTAGAAGATGTTAGATCAAACAGAAACCGAGAAAGACCCAAGTTGAAGTTTTTTGATAGGCCAAAATAGAATTTCTGATAGGCCAAAGTTTAGTTTTTAGGAACTTTGAGATCAGTTTGCTTGAATTGAGGTTTTATTTATAGCTTAAGAAAAAATTCAACTCAAAAACTCTCAAGTTTTGGTAATTATACATAATCGGATGAAAGTTTCATTTGATGAATTAGGTAATTTACGAGAAAAATCAGATGTTTCAAAGAATTTTTTTTATGAAGTAAACATAACTGCGAGACAGAAATGTTCGGCTATTTGGTACAGATTTTTCCACTAAATCAATAAAAAAGTAGCCCATGACAAAAGAAATGAAATAACTTAATTTACACAACAACACTTACCTCGCAATTGTCTGGACATGGAGTTATCAATTAAATCCTCAAATTATTGAAAAAAAAAAGATGAAAACACTCAATGAATTACAAAAATTGAATCAAAAAGAAAAAAGTTCCAACTAAATTTACTTTCTGACACTCGAGTTCAAATTTTCGTTAAATTTTTCAATGAAATTGATCCAAAAATCTTTATTCTACAGTAATAACCGCAGTGCTTGTAAATTAACGGGAAGTTTGCTGAAAATTTTTAAAATAAAATTGCAAATAAGAACTAAAGGGTAGATAATTTTTGTTGGAAAATGGTTTAAAAAAATACTGGGTATTTAATAAATATTGAATAACTGAGCCGTTGTACCTAGTTATAGTTTTATAATCGTGCTAACTAGTACCCTAGAAGATGTACCCGGAGCAGCGTGTTTTCAAGCTAATTATTGGAGACTTATGTAGAGAGGATCATGATTTTTCTGTTGTTTTCCAAAGATTTCTGAAATTTATAGAGTAACTGAATTAGAAAAAATAGATGTTTTTGATGAATTTTAAAAGTGCAGAATAAGATGTATTTAAATGAACAAAAAATTACTTTCGAAAATAAATTGAGGGTAAAAACAAAAATATATAGTTACTTGAAAATTACTTAAATTTGAAAGAAAAAAACTTAGAAGATCATTTTCAATTTTTGTGAAAATTGAGAAAACTTAGCTTGAATTCAAGTAATGGAAAACAGCTCAAAAAAGAATCGAACAAAAAAATTCTGAAGTATAGATAACGATAAGACTTTTATTGGGTATTTGGTCTCACTTAATGAGTTGAATAAAACAATGGAAAGTTTTGAATTTGCAAAATTTTGAATTTACTTTGGATAAATAAACAACCAAATTTACCACGTAATTGTCTTTTAAAAAACCGTTCTATTTGATAGACAGAGCATTATTCAAGAGTTTTTGTTCCAGGTATATGATTATTCGAATTGTCAAATAAAATCTAAAATCAAGCTAGGCTGTAAAAATAATTACTAGAAATAATCAGACTCATCGAGTACTAGAACAGATGAAAAGATAGAACATTTTCAGGTTATTACAAAAGTGTGCAAATCTACTATTTTTGCCGAGAAACTGAGACAGCTGTTGACATTTGACTTGGAAAATTTCTCCAAATCTGTTTCATACATGAACCCAGAATGATAATTGTTTTAGAAACTTGGATAAAATATGTGTTTATGATAAATTAGCGAAAATTTTGTAAATTTTTCAGAAATCATAATGACTTAACTAATTTTGAATCAGATATAAAGGTTTAAATTTTGACTCTTTCAAATGTATTTTGGTTAATCATTGATAAAACTCGAAGAAGAGTCAGAAGCGAATCAAAAAATTTTCAAAAAAACGCTAAAACAAAAAATTGAATGGATGTTGTTAATAAAGTAGAACTACTCTGAGACAAAAAATTTAAAAAAATTTGTATCGAGCCTAAACAAGTTAAGTTTCGGACTGATGCTGAGTCTAATTTGAATGACTTGTACGCAACTGATTTCAAATTATGGTTTTTTTTGACAGTTTTTAGAAGTATTCGGAAATTTAGCTGCGTTTCTTTTAAGTTCCGGCATAGTTTCAGCTAGATGAAGCACTGTGTTACAGAGTTAGATCATCTAATAAAATAGTTTATTGATCAAACATTATCAAATCGTATAGTGTTTTGTTTATTTCGAAATTTTCAAACAAAAACGAAAAAATCTCGTTTTTGGTGCTCTACTTTTACCATTGACTTACCATGAAGTAAAAAACATAGTATAAGAACTTCATTCCACAATCCACTCATACTAAAACATTGATACTATCTAATAAGATATCGCGGGCCGAGGTTTTTTGCAAAATTAGAGATATCTACACAAAAACCAAAAAAATATCATTTTTCTACTATTCTATTAGCATGACACAAACTTTGAAACCTTACCAATCCTATTCGCTATCTTAAGATATTGCAGACTTTATACCCAGTGTTGATACATATCTGGAAGACCGGATGTTCTTTTCCCTATCCTAAAACATGGGGTTCTACCACCAACCCCCCCCCCCCCCCCCCCCCCCCTGATCTGCTCCAACATATACGACTGTCGCACTATTTTGGTGCGCAATCTACCTGCACCTTCTTTAGTTTCTAATGGTGCCCAAGTTGTTGCCCTTAGAACAGTTTGAGGGCTGGTTGAACAAAAATGGATGTTGTGTCAACGGGGAACCCGATAGCGTTGTGGGCGTCCTGTTGGTGGTGTGGATTTTATTAATAAATCGCTGGCTTTGTAGTTTCAAAAGTCGCCCTTAATTCATTAGAGATTAACTTGGTACGATTAAAGTTGATTAAAACCTCAATGAAATGAGTTGAATGAAACAATAATCGAGGTAGGAATGACGGCCTATAATCTATTCTCTATATATGTTGGATCAAAAATATGTTGGATCGAAATAGATATTTTTACATCACGATTTTTGTGTTGAAACAAAAATTTCTAAAAATTGACACTCTTTTCTCTAAAAATAGGCTAAAATAATTTTAGTTGTATGACACTCCAATTTACGTGTGCTGCCAGCGTCCATTCTTAAAATTCGGGTCTTATTCGCCCAAATTTGCAAATGTCGAACAATATCAATAAGTGGTGTACGTAAAATACGCATGAAAATTTTTAGAGTCGTCATCTTGACGTACATGCGAAGCGGGTCAACTCTTCTCGGAGAAGTGTTTAGAGAACACAACAACACTATCTACTTATTCGAACCCCTACGACTGCTGCAAAGTCTCAAAGACAAATTGTCAAGTGAAGAAATTGAGGAACAAAAACTTAGATGGATACATCATTTTTCAAAGTGCAATTTCAGCGATATTCTTTCGGATATCAAAACTTCAAACTCGACAAAAAGGAGCAAATTCGGCCTTGACCTTACAATGGTGAGATAGTCAGTTTCATTTATATATTTTTTTTATTGTCACATAAATGACATGCTGGTAAGTGTTATACGGCGGGGGATAAAGTGTGCAAATATCAAATTTTGGTCGCGATGCTCAAAAAATGTGGTTTGATTACTTTCTTAAGTCTAATAATTAATTTCTATTGTCTGGTCTGACGTCGCAGACGGATGTGTGATCAGAAGGACTAAGTGCGACGCATGGTTTCAAGCAAAACCCTTTAGTTGCGATGTGCCTTCGTTGAAAAGTACATGTTTACTAGAAGCAACAGTGACCTTAAAAAATTGGGTAGTTTTCGATACTATTGTTATGCGAAACATAGATCTAAACAGACGCGGATCTAGGATTTTCTCGATGTGCGGATTGCAGGGGAGGTTTTAGGGGGGGGGGGGGATTCGACGCCCTGCTGACCCAAAGGGATACCGCTTTGGTATTTTTAAGAAATCCCTTTTTGGCGCCCATATATACTAATTTTGAGGCAAAACCCGCAAAAAAACGAGATTTTTTTTGGTCAGAATTTTCCAAAAAGTGCCCAGAAACGGTCTTTTGACCTGTTTTTTTTTATAATTTTTGTTTTTTGCATTGGTTGTAATTTTATAGCTCGATTTGTTAAAATTTCAATTTTTTTTCATTTTTTTTTCTTTTTTATCGGCTTAAAAATTTTCGGCTTTATTAATATCAAATATTTTGCCTCTTTTTGCATCGCTTTGACCGGAGAAAAATTTTGTGCGCGTGTGTGTGTTGTGAGGGGAAAAGGGACTTAAAAACTTTAGATTTTGGTGCACAACATTTTTTGACTAAATTTTTGTCCAAATGGGTCTTTATAGTGTTCTGGGACCGCTAGGAAACCCAATTTGGCCGCCCCCCTCAAGAAAATCCTAGATCCGCTCCAGGGGAATGGATTCCTTTAGATCGATGACATTGGATTTCCTAGCTCTCCCAAAAAAATTAAAGACCTTTCAAACAAGTTAAAGACGATTTTGATTTTTAAAAGTTTCTGAGCCGTAAGCGAATTGTTGAAGGAAACAATCGTTTCGGTGAGCTGTTTCTCTCAGTCAGGTGTTTGAAACATAGCTGTAAACAGGCGCAGATTTAAGACTTTCTCGGGGGGGGGGGATTTTGTCGAAGGGTAGATTGTCTCGAAGGTGAACTGACTGGTTTTCAAACTCAAACTACATGTTGAATGTGACTTGAATTAAGCTAGCTAGGTGAATTCAAATGAGTTCATTTAACCACTGAGAGGATATTTTGAACAGCAATTTTTGCCTTCTGTTTTCTAAATAGTTGCTACATTTTTCAAATAATTGCAACAAAAATAGTTGCCGATGGCGTAGGCTCTCCTTAAACGTCTTTGAGGTTCTGTCAATTTGTTTTTAGAGTTCTCTGCCTCGAGTTTCAAAGAAGGACGGCAGTTTTTATTCAGATCTGGTTTCGATGTCTGACCTCTCAAACAAATGCAACAGCAGCCAAACAATTCCGGTCATCAAAACAATCCGACTGAACCTCACGGATTTCTCGGAATACATGAGAAAAAACGAAGGCGTCAAAGTCATTCATCTATTCAGGGCTCTTTTTCATTTTTCTTTTAGGGCTCTTTTTTTCAGTTTTCCCTTTGAGGATTTGTTTCAGATTTCCCTTCAGGGCTCTTCTTCAGTTTTATAATTAGGGTTCTTTTTATTCCGAACATTTGAAAACTGAGGAGGAACTTTGATTCGGGTCGTTTTAGTTTTTTCTTTTTGATTTCCACGCAAAATCAGGTACCACAAAAATTATCGGAATTGGTCTAGTGGTATATTATATTGAAGCTTTTTCAATACTCCAAAATTTTCTTAGTCGTTGAAATTTTTGAATTTTTTTTTCTTCAAAAATTGTTTTCTGACTGGCTTTTCTACTGACTATTACTGTCAAATATGTTTTAGTTCTTTTTTTCGTTCAGATTTTTTTTTATTTTTTTTTCTATGCGAAAAAAATGACACTAATTTGAAAAAAAAAATGTTTTTTCTTGGTTAAGTATTTCCAGGACTGCGGTCAGAACAGTCTGTGCTAATTGCTCACTAACCGGCTATCCTTGTTCAGTTTTCCCTTTAGGGCTCTTTTTCAATTTTGTATTTAAGGCTCTTTTTGTTACGACCCTTGAAATTGGGGAGAAATTTTGTATTCGAGTGTGTTTTCCTTTATTTTTGCACGCAAAATCAGGTACCACAAATAATCATCGGACAAGGTTGAGTGATATATCATGTTAAAGCGCTTTTAGTTGTAATTTGAGGGACTTAGAAAATTTTCAAAAAAAATTTCTCAATGTTGAGAAAAACTGGTTTGAATTTTTTTATTTTTGGTCTGATTTCGAGCTATTTAGTCAGGTAGTTAGTAATTGCAATATCTTATATAAGCTTGATTTAAGCTGTGAAAAATTAGTTTTTCTCAAGTAGAGGTAGTTTTGGAGTTTTTTATCGCAATTTTGGGAATCAAAAACTTGAAAGTTCAAAAAATTTCAGCAAAAAGTTTTGAAAAATTGTTTGAATTTTTTTTTCGACATTTTCCAATTAACCTATTTTACCATGACTCTCCAATATGCCTAAGTTCTAATTTTTTGTTCAGAACATTTTCATAACAAAGAGCAGAAAAAATAAAGGACACCATTTTGAGAGAACATTTTTTGCCTTTTTTAAGACTGTGGTCGGAACATTCTGTGCTACTTGCACAGTAACCGGCTATCCTTGTTACAAATGCAAAAATTGAAAGGTAGTCAACAGACAGTCAAAAAAGAGTCAAGGAGCGCAAGTAGAAAATACCGACTTGTTTTTTTAGACAAATCTCAATTTTCAAAATTATAAAAAATAGATGCCTTAAAGTTCCATTAATTTTTAGAAGAATTTATGGTTCACTCTTTTTTGATAAATTTAACTAAAAATGACAAAACTGATCAAAAAGGATTTTTTTGCTGAGAAATCGGATAATTAAATTCTATTTTTGAAGTTGATCACTAAGTTAGAAGTCGATCACGTTTTTCGCGACCCTTTACAACTTCGCTGACCTATACAATTTTGTGACCTTTCGCTGTTTGATAGTGAAGTTTGCCTCCCTTTTAACAAAAAAATGAACTTGTGAAAATAAAAAAAAATAAAAAACCGAACCGTGAAAAAAATTTAGGACTTTTCCTAGAAAAAAAAACGAAAAATAAAATCACCACGACATATATAAGAGTCTGAACGTTGTTCACTGACTCCTAATAAAACGGACAAATGGTTGAGATTTTTTTCCCGTTTTTGAATACTACAAGCAACGCTTGTAGGATGTAGAGCGTCGTATCATATTAATGTTCTATCAGGGGTGATTTGAAATCGAAAAAAAATCGTCTCAGAGTTTAAAGAATTGAGCTGAATGTTTCCGATTTCCAAAAAAGCAAAAAAAATTTTGCGTCAAGAGCATATCTAGGATTTTTTCGACAGGGTAGGTTTCCTTAAAAAATTTTTTTTTAGATCGATCAAATTGATCTTCCAAACTTTGTCATAATTCTGAAAAAAAACCTTAAAGACCGAATATTTCAGACTATATCAACCGACCCCTTCACTTATGATTCATTTTTAGTCCTTTTGAATCTGATTGCATTGAAAACTCTGAAAAAAGTGTTGTGAATGTTACTCGATGTTACTCGATTGCTCATTTGTATCTCAGTTGAGCCGACAAAAAAACGGAGATTATAAAAAACCTTAAAAAGTTTTAAGTTCCCGCTAGAACTACTCTGTAGTTATAAATATCGACCCAGTAAATAAATTTGAATTGAAATTGAGCATCTTAGCTGAAGGAAATGTCAAGCGAAGAGCATTTCAAGTGATTCAACTGATTTTGTTAAACTAGTTGTTAATCCGAAAAAAAGTCTACATTCCCGTTTGATAACGCTTGCTAATCCCAATTCGTATCCCACTGTGTACTATTTTGAGATATCTATTTTGGGTGACTGACCCTAAAAGTTTTTTCAAGGCGCGTTTGGCGCCAATATATACTAATTTTGAAGGGGAGCGCGCCAATAGAACGAAATTTTTCAAAAAAAAAACCCAAAAACGGTTTTTTGGTCTGCTTTTTTTTCAAAAAATTTTTAAAAGGCAAAAAATTCTAATAGTGATTTAACAGAGCTCAGAAAATCAATTTGGTCGACCCAAAAAAGGTCAAAATTTTAAAATAAAAATTGAAAATCCAAACCCGAGAAAATTCTAGATTCGCCACTGCTCATAAAGATATTGTTTACAGATTCTAAGTAAAGAATGCAACAATTTATCTTTATGCTCAAATTCAACAGATGCTAGATTTTTTTGAAATTCGAATGTGAGTTATTTTTTTTCCACCATTCTCTTCTTTCACAAAAACTACCCAATTTTTTTAATCTTCTTGTTTCGTGTTCGCCAGTCGGAGTTTTCTGTGCTACAAGTACTGCGACCGGCGTTAGTTTAAAACTCTGTTTGAAAAAGTGATCAATTTACAAATTTAGAGACCCGCGAGCAGTTATGTTATCTCGAAAACGAACCGGATCCCGCATCGATGAAGGCAATGCATGTCTCAGAGTATGGATTGATATCGTTGAAGGTATGGATCAAAATTTGTTAACTATCATACATTGTTTCAGTATTTCTAAGATTTTGACCTCTATGCGACTTAGCAAAGCATTTACATCCCTATGAATGAGTAAGTCAATGATTCATCAAATGAAAACTTTGAAATTAGTTAACAAGATATTTAACACGACCCAATTACTTTTATCAATGATTGTTTAAAATTGGCCAACGGATCCGATAATTAAAAGTTTACAATCCGATAATTAAGAGTCAAGAAAGAATATCCTCTCGCTTGTAACTGCTCAAATTGAATTATTTTGATTCCCAGGCCGGAAACTGTCTTCGGAGTTAGGCACGAGTCGCATCATGCAAGTTTCATACGAAGAACTAATCTTCGACCAACAACGTATTGTTCCACAACTTCTGAGGTTCGCAAATCTCGCACCCGACGCTGAGATTACGCGGAAGTTTTTCTCTTGGACTCACGGAGACTCAACAGTAACCGGAGGTTTCACATCGAAAATAAAACGTAATGCTTCTGCCAACATTGATCATTGGAAAAAAGGCTTGCCCAAATCTCAACTCAAGATAGTAAATAAAACTGAAAGCTGCCAACTGCTCATAAATGAAATAGAGACAAGATTAGCAAAGTTAAAAAAAGAGAGAGTAGTGGAAACTCCAGATGGGTTTTCATTATAATCAAAATGAATACCTAAATAAGTGGTAATTTTTAACAAAAGTGCAAATGAAAATGTGATTCAATCCTAAATAATGTTCACGCTTGCGATTAGCAAGCATTATCAAATTGTAACAATTCAGGTGAAAAAGATGACTATTAGAATCAGTAAATCTTTTTTTATCCAAGCAAGGGTATTGCAACCGGGTACAATTCCATACAACAAAAATCCTTATCATATAATTCCATACATCAAGTTTATGGAGAAAATGTTTGTCATACAATTTTCATACATTTTCGAAAAACAATAGAAAATAAAAACTAAACATTTTCTGCGGCTTTTTGTGAAAAGTTGAACAAGCTTTTAATGGAAAAAAAACTGAATTAAAATTTTTTAAAAAATAGTGCTTACCATTCAATTACCATATATGAAAATTGTATGAAAAGCATTTACGCCATAAAGGATAATTTTTCAAAATTTTTTGCAAACCAGTTTTTGGAAACTTCAAATGAATTAATAGCATTTTTTCAAATGATGAGAACAAAATGCGAAAACCAATCCGTTCAAATCCAAGTAAAGGAGAAGCAATCAAGAACGAAAAAATAGAAATTTCGTTTAACTTTTTTCTCTCGAAAATGCTTTGATGCAAGCAACTTTTTGTGGAGTGTGTCACCCTTGAGCATTATTAGGGATTGCAGATAGGTAATAAAGACCTATAATTATGTAATTTAATCGTTTTCATACAATTTTCTGTACGTATGGAATTGTATGGAATTGTATGATAAGAAATTTTCCATTTATGAGATGTGTATGATAAGCATTTTTGGTCAACCCGGGTAACTTTGTTCACAGAATGGTACGTATTTGAAAAGGAGTTTGAAATAGTAAAATTACAAATATGCTGCTTAACTATGCATTGTACTTAATTTTGCTGTATAGTGCTTGCATTAAAGCCGCTGGTAGATGCAAATCTTTTTGTATGATCGGTTTTGAAAATTTTTTGACTGTTGTTTACCATATTAAGAGTCAGCTCTTATTCTGTCGGCTTATTTACCTAAATATGTGAATGCGTTTGTTTTTCTAAAATGATTTTTTTTCAGCAATGCTTTTTTGAATTTTTAAAATCATTTTTCCAATCCTTTTTTTAACATTACGAGGCCAGACTGTGCATTTTGTGAATTGTAAACAAATTCCGCAACAAGGACGCTCCCCTTTTGCTCTTCTTTTGTTCTTTCGATTTCTTTGACATTCCGACAAAACTTAAACATCTTTAATGAGTTGTCTCGGGAATCCAGGAACAATTAGACACAACGTTG